ATTCTTTGCTCTCCATCACAGTTTCTTGTTCACTTCCTGACCTAGGTGTTTTGATGTCAGAAGAGTCCACAGATTCTTGACCTTCCTGGATTGTGTGTTCTTCTTTCTCTGTTGAGTCTTGAGCAGCTGTCGGGTTCCCATTGGGGGCTTGGACCTCATCTGGGTTTTGTCTGCCAAACGTGCTTCCTTGCAGGATGTCCCCCATGAGAACTTCCTCACTTGTGTTCCTCCCGAATGTCAGGTGTTTTGAGAGCCGTTGGGAGAGGTATCTGGAAATGGACATCTGGTTGAAGCCTTGTCTATTGATGGCCTCGGATTCCTCTGTATTTGGCAGGTTCGGTTGAACGTCACCATCCAGAAACGGTGAGGGTCCGGCCCACTCAGGATTTTCTAGCTGCTTTCTTTGCATTTTGCGTTTCCTTACCAAGATAAAGATTATCGCTATGAACATCAAGACAAACGTGGTGCCAATCACAGCCGCCACAGCAGGACCTGGGTTTGCTTGCTGCTTGTCTTTTGATGAAGGTGGTCTTAGCTTTTTGGTGGTCTTTCTCATGGTCGTCAACATCTTCTTTGGCTTAGTCATAGATGAAGTCTCAAGCTCAGGGCCTTGAGTGCTTGTCCACGTGTCTGTGACTTCTTTCCCCTCTTTGGTTTCCACACCATTGTTGCTTCGAGTCCCTTTGAAATCTGTCACATTTGCTGTTGCAGAAGTGTGGGCATGAGTCATTGGGCTTGGTTGGTCTGAAGTCTCCATTGTGGGCTGGGCTGTTGGAAGATCTTTATTTGTGTTGGTTTCGTTGCTATCCATGACTGTTTCATTTGCTTGCGCAACATAGAGCCCAGTGAAATCAGAAGTAGAAGGTGTTTCCTGAGTGGCTTTCTGTGTCTCAGAAAGTGCACTGCTTGTCTTTTCCTCTGGCGAAACATCTGCCCTTGTGGCATTGGGTGGTTTAGCAAAGACATTAAATTCTGTAGCATTCTCTGTCTGCAAAAGAGATGTAGTATGTGGTCTGCGGGAACTTTCTGTTGGTTTTTGTAGTTCCTTTTGTTGAATTACCTCGTCCTGCTTTTGCGTTTCAGGGTGTGTCGACATAGTAGTTAAGTTGTGTTTGTCATAATGTACATTTCTCCTTGTCCTTGATGCCTCATCTTCACCATTGGCTGTCCTCAGCCTGGTCTCTTGCTGCTCAGAGTGACTCATAAGTTGTGGCATCTGAACATTTCTTGAAAGTGAAACCACGTTTTCTGTTCCAGAATCAGTAGTGTAGTCTCTCTGCCATGATGCATTTTCTGCTGTGTTTGTTACCGCATTATTCTTATTGCTGGTCGTTAAATGGCCATTTAGACTCCATGGTAGAGAGAAGAGGAAGACAAGTGTGCAAAGAGTAGTCCTCATGGTGTCCTTAGAGAACCTTGCCAAAAAAAAAAGACATTTTTGCACATAAGACTCAACAGACCGTTTTTTCTCCCTAAAATTCTTATAGGCCATATGTAGCATGCTCAGATTAAAACTTTTACGATTAAAACTTTTTAATCTTTTTCAAAAAGGCAAAACCTAATGTTTGTGTACACAAATGGTGCACACAATCTGTAAGTGAATACTTGGCGACGCAGACTAACAATGAAAAAAAAGTAGGTTTTTCTTTTATTTTACAGTCACTATTGGACAACTTCCAACACACTGTATGTAAATGTAGTTACTTTAAATGTTAAAAACATATACACTTAAATGTTTTGCTGTCCAGTATCAAGTAACAATTATTGGTTTATGCTAGACAAAACAGCAGAATATTTACTTACCCAGGCATCCTCTGAAGCATTTGTTCAAGACTGAAGCATATTGAGATGAATACGGAACCGTAACTTCACTTGACAGGAAATGAAGCTGTGAAATGGCTGCATTCGTTTTTGCTATAGCAGTTGAAAGAATCTTTGGTAACAGAGTATGAAAAACAGAAGCACTTTTGTTTCTTAACTCTGTTCTAGGATATGAGGCTCATTTTAAGGTATGTTTTAAATGATTGATGTTAATTTTTTGAAAAGAACAGTTATTAATTTTCATCAAATTTATCTATAAGAATAAGAATTCTTTGCAGAGCAGAAGCCATCTAAAGGGAAATGATCTCATGTCTCTTTTTTTGTCATCTTGGAAAGTTCCTTTCACTGAACACCCACTTTTCAGCCACCAATAACATCTTCAAAATCTGGCAACTACGTTAACAGTAGCATTGCAACACTCTTGAAATATCAAAATCTGATTGTAAATGATAAACAGAACAAGCATTTTTGTCATTAGCATTTCATTTTATTTTATATTGAGATGTCAGTGTTTTGATATAGAAAACTTGCTCATTGTTACAGGATTTTTAAGGCTGTGTGGTATTGCTTTACCCATTTTAAAGCTGAAGTGTGTGATTTCTTTTGTCCCTGCTTAATATTTGGAGTCAAATATAAATAAGCCATTCATAGGTTGTTTCATCTACATTGTTTGACCGGCTAATGGCAGATGGGCGTTCATTATTTTTGCAATGCAGTTTGGTGACTGTAGTGGAAATTACAGTAGAAATTACAACACCAGTTTAGTTGTGGTGTGCTATTTATGCACAGAGGATAGCGTTCATCTATTTCGCTTCCATCTACAGCGAGTGAATATGCTCTTCGATTTCTGGGTATGTGCTGCTGCTTGCAGCATCACATAAATTTTTACAATTTTAACATTTTTAAATTTTTAAATTTAAAAAATTGCCAAAATGTGAGACAATGCTTTTGTTAAATACCAATTTCACAAACTATACAATCATACACAGAAATTTCATTTACTTATTGTCCTTGTCATCCTCACTAAACAGATCTCCAGAGCTGATTGAGATGAGAAAACTGCATTGACCTCATCTGTGAAAAGGTCAAAGTTTTCTATTTACTGACTATTTGACCCATCAAATTAATCTGATATTACAAGAAATTTCCTTTTAACAGGATGAGCAGAAATTGTAGTTAGTTAAACAATTCTGAAAAACCCTGTAAGGCCGCTTGTAACTGGGCACCTTTGTTAGCTTACTTTTTTACTGCAGTAGATGTTGAAGACATTTTAAAAAAAGGCAAAAAGAGAAGTAACATGCCTGACATCAGAGCCCAGCATACAAAAAAAGCTCTTATACTTTACACCATCAGAGGCATATTCTCCAAACTTATGGGATCTATGCAGGAATCCCTGGAGGTTGAGCTCTGCATGGCTGTCGGGATGCTCTCTGAATCACCGGCTGCGTTAGAAGTGGTGATGTATTGGCTCGGCCCTGCCGCGCCATCATGGATCTCTTCCTCCTCGCCGTCTGTCTTTACCTCCTCCAGTAGAACACTGGTTTCGCATGGACCCACAATGCCGCCCTCTCTTCTCTCGGTACCCCAGTAGCCCGTTCCACTCACCAGGTCTGCATTGCTTCGGGATGGACGAGGGGCCCGGTGATGACGTTTCAGGCTTGAGACGGTACATGCCAACATTATGGTGGAGGTTAGAAGGATCAGGATGATGCCCCCAGCAGTTGCTGTTGCTATAAACGCTAGCTGGGCATCGATAAAACAGCTGATCTCGGCGGCACCAGTTGCAGGCAAACTAGTCGTCGCAAAAGAAATGTTGAGGACCTCGTACTCTTCTGTGGTGGTGTTGTACATCAGCTCGTTTGTGGTCTGCATTGTCACTGTATTTTGAGATCTGTGTAACAAACAAGTACCATTATTCAACAGGTCATGTTCTTTTGAATATTCTATAGTAGTTCATTTAGCTTTGCAGTACTCATTACGCTGTCTTAACCAGGCATGATGCAATAAGTTTCCAGTAACAATCAATTTGTCTGTTCAAACTTAATGTAAAAACTTGGCTAATGGAGAAAAAAACATTATTTATGTTCACTACCATTCAAAAGTTTGGGGTCAGTAAGATAAGTTCATGCTTTTATTCAGCAAGGATGCCTTAAATTGGTTGTGAGTGACAGTAAAGACATTTCTATTTCTATTTCTATTTCAAATAAATGCCTTACTACTTAAGAATTTTGAATCACATTGGATCATGTTTCCACAAATATTAAGCAGCACAACTGTTTTCAACATTGATAATAAGAAATGTTTCTTGAGCATCAAATCAGCATATTGCAGCGATTCCTGAAGGATCGTGTGACTGAAAATTCACATGAAAAATTATAATTTAATTTGAGCTGCTTTACTATATCTATTGTCCTGTATTTTTGATAAAATAAATGCAGTTTTGGTGAGCATAAGAGACTTTTTTCAAAAACGTAAAAAATTCTTACCTAACCCAATCTTCTGAACGGTAGTGTACATAATTTAACATGAATCGCTATGATTTTAATTAGTGTATATGGAGTTTAAAAAGCACCAAATCTTTTGTTAAATGAAGATTTAAAACTCTTTAGCCACTTTAACTGTATAATAAAAAACATTAACAAAGATAATGAGTAGTTTGTTTTCCTGCCTTCTGTTTTCCAAACTCTCAATTACACATTAGCTTTACAGATAATTGGTGAATTAATAAGTACTTACTAAAGTAGATATAGAGCCTTTCCTAGGGACTTATCCAGAGAGGGAGAGCTGGTAGATGATGAAGAACGACCTGAAGCAATGAGGCTTGATATATTGCGATACAGTGCACAATCACTTCCTGTCCCTCACGCTTGTTGATGTTATTTAGGTGTTCTTCAGTTGAGATGCTCTTGACCTGTAGTTACAACAGTAGAAAATGGCTATATTTGATAAACAGCTTCCATTCTGTGTAAGCTGTCAGAAGTTTGCCATTTAAGGGAATTAGTACAGAGTACAGACCGCTCATGTTTGAACTGTTTGAAATGACTAATGCATTGTTGTTTTTGGCATATATACAATTTTAGACATTATTCGCACAATACACTTCTCAAAGACGTACAGTGCATTGCCTTTAGAAGCAAAAACACATTCAAATTCAAAATATTGTTGTTTTTTCTCTTTAGGTTCAAAACCGGACAAATCAATGGGGATCTCCTGATCTACCACGTCCTTCTGACGCTCAAACCATACTACGCCAAGCACTACGAGATCGTAGTAGACCTCACCCATGTGGGCCCCAGTAACCGCTTTAAGACGGACTTCTTATCCAAGTGGTTTGTGGTCTTTCCAAACTTTGCCTATGAGAATGTGGCTGCCGTGTACATCTACAACTGTAACACCTGGGTACGAGAGTACACCAAATACCACGAGCGACTACTGACCGGCCTCAAGGGGAGCAAGAAGCTGCTGTTTATCGACTCGCCTGCACGTCTAGCCGAAAACATTGAGCCTGAGCAGCAGAAGCTGCCTGCAGCTACCTTGGCACTGGAAGAAGACCTCAAAGTGTTCCACAATGCCCTGAAACTGGCGCACAAGGACACAAAGGTGTCGATCAAGGTAAGAGCTCATGGATATTTGTGAAACTCAATCCAAGTGTTATTTTGAGGTTATTTTAGGTACCAATGTTGGCTATGTTAATATGTTTCTTAACTTAACCCATATTAAAGCCTATAAGAATTTTCATGTTATGGCTGGTAACTGATAAATGGCTAATATTGAAGTTCTATACTTTTCTAAATAAATTTATATAATAAATGAAATAAGTCTTAATGGGAACAAATTCTTAATTCGTGTTAACGATAGACACACACACAAGCATCACAGTATTGTATTGTACATTATAAAAATTGATATTCATTTTGAGATTTTCAGAAGATTTAAGCGTTATTAAATTATTAGTGTTTTTAAAAATTTACTTATATGGTACTATAACCCAGAGTGTAAATCCCAGAGTTTTACACTCCTTTTTTTGGCCCATTCTACCTAGGTGGGATCAACAGCTGTTCAGGTGACCTCAGCCGAGCGAACGCGTGTCCTGGGACAGCCTGTTTTCCTGAACGACATATACTATGCTTCAGAGATCGAGGAGATATGCCTGGTGGACGAGAACCAGTTCACACTGACCATCGCTAACCAGGGCACCCCTCTCACGTTCATGCACCAGGAGTGCGAAGCCATCGTTCAGTCCATCATCCACATCCGCACACGCTGGGAGCTCTCTCAGCCAGACTCCATTCCTCAGCACACAAAGATCAGGCCTAAAGATGTTCCTGGCACCCTGCTCAACATCGCCCTCCTCAACCTGGGAAGCTCTGACCCCAGTCTGAGGTGAGAATCAGTTCACTTTGCCTGGCATCTTGGAGGACTGAGTTTTAGGCCATGCTCAGGCTGTTTTTCAGCCTAACAACTTGATAGTTTTGGGGGAATGGTCCAATGCGCCCCACTGTTGTTGTTCTGACAATGAGCCTTTTATCTGCAGGCTTCTGTCTTTGTTCTGGTGAACTGATTAGAAATGCTAATACTGCTCCTTTGTGTCTTTAGTTCAACTGAGGCGGCTCTTGAACTTGCCACCCTACAGTTAGAACCAGACAGAACCTGTTATGTAAAAATTAAATACCACTTCAGTTTCTACAAAAATGGAAACTAACATATTAATGTAAATGATTGCTTCTGAAAATGACTTGCTCTTAACTAAAAACTCCTTCAACAGGTCAGCTGCGTACAATCTCCTTTGTGCCTTAACCTGCACCTTCAACCTGAAGATTGAAGGCCAACTCCTGGAAACATCTGGCTTGTGCATCCCAGCCAACAACACCCTTTTTATTGTGTCCATTAGCAAAACGCTAGCAGCTAACGAACCCCACCTCACTCTGGAGTTCCTGGAAGAGTGCATCTCTGGCTTCAGCAAGTCAAGTCAGTGTCACATACAAACAAAGACTCATCGTTTTGCACATATTGTTAGAAGATTTGGTGTTAGTAAGATTTTTTTTCTTGTTTTGGAAGAAATGGATACTTTTATTCAACAAGGATGTATAAAATTGACTTAAAGTGACTTTTATAAAACTAAGAATCTTGGAAAAAAGTATCATGGCTTCCACAGAAATATTAAGCAGCACAACGTTAATAAGAAATGTTTTTATAGCAGCAAATCAGAATATTAGAATGATTTCTGAAAGATCATGTGACACTCAATACTTGAGTAATGGCTGATGAAAATTCAGCTTTGCCATCACAGGAATAAATTACATTTAAAAATATTTTAAAATAAAGTTATTTAATGTAATATTTCACAATATCACTGTTTTTACTTTGTTTTTGATCAAATAAATGCAGCCTTGGTGAGCCTAAGATACGACTTCCAAAAACAGTAAAAAATCTTACTGATCCCGAAACAAAAATTATTTTTTAAATAAGATGATGGTCATTGCAAAGCACCATTTTTGTGTCATTTGTTACAAAAATGTTGTGTGTTTCCTTTTGGGTGCTTTAGGCATTGAGCTGAAGCATCTGTGTCTGGAGTATATGACTCCTTGGCTGCGTAATTTGGTGCGCTTTTGTAAACACAATGACGATGCCAAACGGCAACGTGTAACGGCTATCCTGGACAAACTCATTACTATGACCATCAATGAGAAGCAGATGTACCCCTCCATACAGGCGAAGATATGGGGCAGCTTGGGTCAGGTGAGCCTTTCAAACAATTGTAAAGTTTCTCCTAGTTTTATTGAAGGAATTTGATTTTGTGAGCTTATTCCATCCAAAATGTTTCAAACAGGCTTTACAATGACAAATGCCTTCAAACTCTAACACCCCTGTATATTTCTGTAGTAATTCGGCCCATGTCTATAGAAACTCGCAAGTCAGCAGTTACAGAATGCACCATTTTTTTACGTTTATAGATCACAGACCTGCTTGATGTGGTGTTGGATAGCTTCATAAAGACTAGTGCTACGGGGGGTTTGGGATCCATCAAGGCTGAAGTGATGGCTGACACAGCTGTAGCTCTGGCTTCAGGAAACGTCAAGCTGGTGTCCAGCAAGGTAAGCACTTACTGGTCACCATATTATGTGAATTTATGTTTTTAATATATTATTTAATATGATGCTGTTCCTAAGATAAAATACTGTAGCATCTCAGTTAGTTTGTACTGAAATACTAAATCTTGCTGCATTGCTGAAGTGCAATGAATGATTTAGAGCATGGAAAATGCAACAGAACCAAAACCAAAATGTACCATTTTGTTTTTTTTCTTCCTACAGTAGTAACAGAATGTGCAGTGATTTTGTAAGCACAGATGCTATTGCATTTTTAGTTGTAATGTTTTAATGAGTTTCTTTATTTATTTTGCTTTATATATATATATATATATAAAATGATAGGATTATTAAAATATTTTATTTATTTATAAAGTTATCAATTTGTTCATCCCAAAATGATTCAAAATGCCCCGGAACAGCTTGACTTATATTGCATGCATTTTTGTATAATTTCATCCAATTTATCTCAGTTGAAATGTATACCTCCTATTTAATATAATAGAATATAAAATTATAATATTACAGTGTTAATATATTCAATTATCCATCAAACCAGTTTTATTTCTTGTTAACATGTCTGTAAATGTCCTATAGGTGATTTAGGTTAAATTATAGCCACTAACACTCTTTTAAACCGATTTCGACTTACCGCTTAAAGTGTTTCTGGCTCTTGTTTTCCTGAATCATTCCTCTTGTGATCTTATCCAGGCTGACTAGCTCTTCTACCCAACATCTATTATCCTAAGTGTTGTGCACAAATGCCCAATTTGTACGTGTGCGCACAGACAGACAATAGTTAGCCAGTGGGGCAGTCGCTTCTATTATATGGGCAACTGTTAGTCATTACGCTCAATGGACGTCATTGTCAGACACTTGGGCAGAGGGAGAGCCACATTTGCGAATTGGATAACTTAAGCACCTCGGTCTTTATGATTCTTGATTGACGCAGTTACCATAACTAGATATATACTAGATATTTTTCAGTAGTTGAAGATACTTCGTTGTTTTCCCAAATGCTCAGCTCT